AGCGGCACCGGAGATCCACAGGCTCTGGATCGCCCTGCGCTCACTGGGTCCCGGAGATCCACAGGCTCTGGACCATCCTGCGCTCACCGCATCCCGGTGATCCACAGCCTCTGGACTGCCCTGCACTCATCCCGCCGGGAGATGTGCGCTACTGCGGAGAACCGACACGGAGAGCTCCTGCCAGCACCCAGCGCGGGACATTAAATCACAGATGACGCTGTTTCCTCGCCCCCTCCGGGCAGGAATAACTCCCAAGGCCAAGAGAGGAGAGGAAAGGAATGAAGCGCCTTGAGGCTCAGGTTTCACGGTGGTCACTTAACTCAAGTACACTACAGGTACTTTTGCTGGACATCATTATGGAAAATAAGTACAAACGTGTATATCCTGGTCTCTGAGGAGGAAATATGCTGTGTTTTGTCCAAGTTAACAAGCTCCCGATAAAATTTACTCTGAGGCACTGGAGAGACCCTGCAGGAAAGCACCCTCCAAGCTATTCCGTTCCTTCAGCAAGGCAGACCAAGTGTTACAGTGTTGAAGGCAGTTCTTACCTGGCAATTGCTCTGAGATACTTAAATCAACTTACTGTTACCATCTTGGTTCCTCTCCCAGTTAAGGAGTTGAAAAACTCCTATTTTTGCTAGAGCTTTCTCCCATGCACATGGAAACCCTATGCAGAGGTTTTGCCGTGGAGGAGTTTGCTGAGAGTGGGATATCCTGGGAATACCTGAACTACTCCTGCCTGCAGTCGTCAGTTGTCACCCTGTGGGTTTCCCTCAGAGACCAAACTGAAGCAGGGAATTTAAAATGTGTTTTCCAACTAATGGCTCCTGTGACACTGTGCAGACAATCCCTGTGAGTGCTGCTGATGGGGGAAACCACAGCCCTGGCCAAACACAGGACACAACAGCAAAGATCTCATCTGTCACCCAAAGGCTGCAGAGTCTCAGCAGACTTGGCTGGTACTCGTGTTTTGTGCTCTTCATCTTCATGGAGCTGGCACTCACAGCATCTTTTCAAGGAAAGGGAAATACTCGCTAGTATGAATCAGTGCAGTAGGAATTGCAATGCTGCTTCTTTAACTGGCATGAGGGTCATGTTTCATGATTTATTTCTGTACCAGAGGCCAAGGTTATATTTAACGTGCCCTTTCTATGCTTGCTGGGATTGAGGCAGGCAGATGAGCAGACACAGGTCTCAGAAGAACTGCTGATTTCAGAGCTGGTCCTGATGATGAGCAGCAGGACACATAAGTAATTTTGTCAGTATTTACAGATGTATTTCATTTCCAATAGAGCAGGTGACGACTGCCTTGTGCAGACACAGACACAAGGGAATAACTGTGTGGGAAGACAGACTTTTGCCCATGTCATGATGTGGAGAAAGGACATTAGAATAACTTTGCAGCTCACCTGCCATCTCACCCCCAGCTTTTGCTGTTGCCCAAGATGTCTATGAGCACTTTGGTAGGGAGGGACGTGATGAAAATCCACTGTGGTCCTGCATCTGTAATTCTGTGTCATGGTTTAATCCCAGCCAGCACTTCAGTCCCACAAAGCCACTCAAGTCACTCCTCTTCCTGGTTAAAGGGGGAGAGAATCATAAAAGTGAGAAAACTCATGGGTTAAGAGAAAGACAGTTTAATAGGTAAAGTAAAAGCTCCACACACAAGCAAAGGGAAAGTAGGAATTCAGTCACTACTTCCATGGGCAGGTGTTCAGCCACCCCCAGGAGAGCAGGTGACTTGGGAAGACAAACACCATCACTCTGAGTGTGCTTCCCTTCTGCCTTTCCCACTCACCTTTACATGCTGAACATGTCTCCATATGTTATGGTATATCCCTTGCGTCACTTAGGGTTGGCTGTCCTGGCTGTGTCCCCTCCCAGCTCCCTGTGCACCCCCAGCCCTCTCACTGCTGGGGTGGGATGGGAGGCAGAAAAGGCCTTGGCTCTGGGCAAGTGCTGTCAGCATTACAAAAACATCCTTGTGTTATAAACACTATTGCCAGCACAAATCCAAAACACAATTCATGCCAGCTACTAGGAGAAAAGTAGCTCTATCCCCAGCCAAAACCAGCACAGACTGGTTCTTTGAGAGAGCCCAGTTATGAAAAAGGAGGCACAAGGAGGTCCCCTAACCACAATGTCCTCCTAACCAACCCTTTTCCTTTAGCACCCAAGAGAGACAATCAAAAGTCCACATCTTCACCCAGCAAGGCTGCAAATAAAACCAAATGGGTTTTATTTTTTTACCTCAAAATCTCCTCAGCATTATACCCATTCCAGATAAATACCTACACAGCATGAGAGACAGGTTTTCTTGGTGTCAGGCAATTAAACCTTTATCAAGGTATAATTTGAAACACTAGGTTACAAATCACTGTCATCAAACATTGCTGGAGGTTATGTTTGCCTGATTCTTTTCTACAGCTTACTAACCATATCTTTCTGGAATATGTTCTTTCAGATTTGTCAGAGAGTAACACAGAACTTGAATTCAGGTATATGGATGTGTCTTAAAATACTGGAAATAACTTGTGAACATTTGTTACAGCTGCTTGTGCCTTCATTTATTGGCTGTTATATCAACTTGAACCCGTGTCATGTTATGGAGAGGTATGCACAGATATGAAGCTGTCAGATGTGTCATAGCTAATTGTGTTGGACTCCAAAGAGCCTGAGGGTCTGTCCTGTCATTGGATTGTGCACCTGTAACTGATGCCCACCTGCCCAACTTACACATGTTGGGAAGGTGCCCAGCGAGGAGCTGGGGCATCTGCCAGGTCACTGATTTCTGACTGTCCCACGCTGAGGTCTGGGAAATGTGACTTTGCTGTGCTACACAATTACTTAAATGCATTACCTGCCCTTTGAGGCAAACTAATCAAATTTGCTGCTGCTGCTGCTGTACACTGTGTTGTACTGGGCACTGTGCCTTTTCTTTATTCCAGCCTTACACCATCAAAGCTGTCATTGAAAGGAGATGTAAAATGGGAGGCAACAAACTGTCTGCATTAAGTGACATTTAACTGTGCAGGTCATGCTGGATGGAGTCCTGTTTATCTTCTCTCTGTTGCTCATAGTCAGATCTTTTAGAAAGGAGAATATTTTGCATGGCTTTATCAAACATTTTGAATGCAGTTCATGCAAAGATCAAGAGTTCCTATGCGGTCAGTAAGTGATAAACCATGTTTAAAATGCATCAGTTAAAAGACAATCTAAAAGTGCTGCTTTTCCAAAGGATCATGCAGAATTCAGAACATGCTGAACTCAGAAACAGGTACATCATGACTGCTGTGGGATGTGGAGGCCAAGCAAAACAGTGACAAGCTGCCTGTGGAGAAGAGGAGGAATAAATCTTGCAGGAACAGCAACTCCACTCACCTTTCACAGGATATTAATGCTGACCCTAAGAACTGGCCTTGACTCCCCTGAAATGAAGAACCATGGTCTGTGTCTCTCCATGTCTCCTCTGTGCCAGGGTGCTGTTTTTCAGCCCCTGCAGAGGTACCTTGCAGAACAGCTGGGTTTCCTCCTCGGCTTACAGGCACTGTGTGTGGAAAGGATCCTCCACTCCAGCTCTGCAGTGTGGGCCCAGATGTAAAGCAGCATTTTGGAAGAGATGCACTCTAGCATCTCATTGGCTGTTCACACTGTGATTTAGGGTTAACAGCTGTTAAGACAGAAGCAGGACGTACATGTTTTTGTTTGTGACAAGGACATTTCAAACCAGAGCTTGTAAATCTGCAAACAACAGTGGTGTTGGCAACACACTGTGCTCTGTGCAAGGGAGAACTCTGGCAAACCATAGCTGGAGCATGATGATCACAGAGAGGAAGGGAATGGGGCCAGGGAAGGGAGAGATTCAATAATTAGATGTGCTCTCATAAAGCATTTTGGCTGGTTCTGCGCTACAGGGAAAACCTTTTTCTTTGCAGCACCAAGCATAAAACATGTTTTCACTTATTTCAATACATTGGAAAAACAGTCATTTCTCAGTGGTATAGAAAAAGATGAGAACTTAAATACAGACTGGGAGCAATCTGAAACCCAAAATGAGAGAGAAGGAATAAAATCATGCATGGATGCAACTGTGCAAAGTGGCTCACCTGAAAGGCAAAAGGCTGAACAGGAGTCTCAAGGAGCA